TAATGACGCAAGCACTATATAGTGAGGATGTGGGGTTGAATCTTTGATCCTGTCACATGTGTAACAGTAGATAAAGTATGTTTTTGGCCTCTAGTGACTCCTTTGTTCTTTCCTTGTCTTCTAGTTTAAATACCTCATGCTCTCTTTTTCTTTGAGAAAAGGTCATATCCTCATTTTAATTCAGAAGGAAAGTTCATGGAGTTCTTGTAAGTATTTGAAGAAGAAATGAAAATTGTGTCGCTCCTTTAGGTTTGGAGAAACTTTCCATGTTAATCAGAAAAATACTGTGGTTATTAAAGTGGGTACTTTTCAAGGAAAAATAGATTATGTTAAAGACTGAGTAAAATGCTAACAGCACTTTTTTTTTTTTTAGCCATTTATGTAAAGTTCACAGTCGGTGTGCTTCTGTAGTAAGATGCTTTAAACTTGTTTTAATGTCACGTTAGTCCAAGCATATAATCTGTTGTAGATTTTTTTTTAAATTGCATGTTTTATCAAAGCATATATGAGAGATGAAAAGATCAAACCTGACCACAGATAATTATCAGTAGTGATTAATAAATAGAAACGCATCTGTGGAAGTATGTTTGCACTATTTGTTTAATGAGCTTATTAAATGTGTTGATTGTGCAAGCATAAAATCAAATTTAAGTCTACTGTGGAGACCTATGCTTTTTTGGTTGCGAAACCATAGCAAGACCTGTTGAGAAGAAAAATGCGTTCTCCTGTCGGCCAAAGTTATGTTAGAAGAACATTAAGGTTCTGGCAGAAAAATAGACTAGATCTTAGCTGGTAGGGAGTAAAAGATGCTGGCTGGTGACTGGCAGACACAACAGAGTGCGTCAGAGCAATACTGTATGAAATAACTTAGAAATAATTAGTTCTGAGAGACTTCTTAAGGCAACTGCCTGTTTTAGTGTAACTTTCACTGATACTCTTTAGTGCACGTAACTTCTGTGTCTCTGTGTTTGCCATAAGTGACCTGACTGCGTACTTCTGGTACACAGAAGAAAATTTCCGTTTTGGTGATACCCCTTGTGGTTCCCAAGCAAGGGGCTCTGCCCTCTGCAGGGGTGTGTGGGGCATGTGCTGTGCAGGGTGCCCACTCCCTGCCTTGCAGGGTGAAGCCCCAGGAAAATTCCCTGCAGCTAAAGCTGGTGTTGTGTGGGGCAAGGAGAGACAAGGAGGCGAGTTAAAGGAGCGCCAGCTTGCTTGGAGGTTATAGTATGTGAATATCTTTGGAGGGGGAATGACCTGGTGTGAAGCGTCCTCTCCTGAGTTAAATGGAGAGCAGAGAGCAACTGTTTGGGGCTGGCAAGAGGTGCATACATGGACATATGCAGAGGTGGGTGTATGTATTAAAAAGTACATAGCAATACTCAGGGTTTATTTACATATCATTTTGCGCTTACTGTTGAAATGTGTGGCTTCTATTTCAGATCTGAAACAGGACTTACG